ACACAGCCAGCGAATCCCCGTGCGCAGATCACTGCAGAGTGTTCGCCCTCAGTAGGACAGAGAAAGAGTACAACGGTCAGTGCCAACATCAGCATACCATCACCTGTGACAGGTGCGAAGACCTAAAGAATGCTGTCTCAGATCTGCAACTAGCGTTGGATTCAGGTGAAGTACATCTAAGGTAAGAACATGTTTGTGACAGAAAAGCAGAGTTTAGCATTTATTGTCAACTAACAACCTAATCCCCAGGGCGCTTTATATGAGTTTAGAAATTTTAAATTGCTTTGGGTGGTTCTAAACCTAATGAACATGTGTTTTAAATGAAACGCAGCGAACAAAAAAAAGTGAGTGAGGCGTCATTATTTTTTGATAAAACGGCTCCAAAGAAAAATTTCTGACGCTATCGCGCCGTGATGTTGACAAGCTCTACTCTTTCCCTTCTTAGTCCTGATAAACGAGAGGAGTTACAGCATGATTTGAGCTGCGCTGCGCCGAGCATAGAAGATTGGAAGTCGCACGTTCCCGTTCAGTTCACCAGGATGCGGCCAAGAGCGAAATTGTTGATAGCCTGAAACCATCACAGGTGCTGCTAATAATGGACTAAGCGATGAAGTTTATTCCAACCAGCTTTCGCGAAACGCAGCGCGACTGGTTTTGAAAGAAGGGGAAGTCCTGGCATCTCTCGGTGGCCATCACTAAAGTAGAAGATGGAACAATTGAGGTAGAAATCATGTGCCTTCTCTCCTGTCTTTATCGCTCACTGACCACTATAAACTACAATGAGGGACAAAAGTGTTGACACACTTCCGTAAAATGGCCCCTTTTTGCATAGTGGATATTCTTATCGCCTTCCCCTGTCTACCCCAACCCCTTCAGCCCCAAAATCAATGTTGAATTTTGGACCCTCGAGTCTTTTTTTTACTTCAGACAACATTGATTCGGGGGGTGAGGGGATTTACGGCGTTTAAAAAGAATGAAATAATAGATGAATTAAATGTTTGTTAAAAGCACCCGTTTTAAACAAGTGTGTCAACTACTTTTGTCCCTGATTGTAGTTTCTCGTGAGCGCGGTCTTTGTTGCGCTAACCGATTGCAAAATTGGACGGACAACTGATAAGAATGCCAGGCCGAGGAAAGACGCGAAAGCTTAAATTCCTAATAGTGAATTTCAACATTTCATTGCTTTCGGCACTTATATAAAGATAAAACGTTGGCGACGCACGTAAGCGCGCGCAAAAGCTCATGGGACGGAATACATTTTTAATCCAAATAAAAGGCCATAAACATTCTCGAAAAAAGCAGACCTTTCCGGGTGTTATCTCTATTTCAAGTCAAAATGCGCAGGTTAATACTCCATTAGCCCTTGACTGTGACCAGGTCCCAGCATTATTCATACCAAAAAATGCTTTACTATTATGATTTTCAGACTTATTTGATGAATGCAATCAAACCTGGTTCAGCGTTGCCTCCATCATCGAAGATTCTTTAACCACCATGAAGCGACAGAAATCTAGACTGAATGAAGCTTTCCTGAGATCTGACAAGGCAGGCTGTTCTCACTGCGCATTTCTTCTTCTCAGTCTTCCAAGCCTTGGTCAGCGGGTTGGTGTCCGCATAGCTCGTTATGACTTCAGTGAGGCCCAAGCTGGGAAACACATATGTGACCGCCGAGCCGCCGCCCTGAAGAGCCACATTAGGCGCTACATTAATGAAGGCAATGACGTCAAGACAGCAAGTGACATGAAAGCTGCTATTGACTCGCATGGGGGCGTCAAAGGCTGCTACTCAGTGGTATGCAAGGTTGACGAAAGGTCCCAAAACATGACCAAGCACTCGCTGAGTGGCATACAGTCTTTGAACAACTTCGTGTTCACTGAAAGTGGAGAGATGATCGCTTGGCGGGCCTACAATATCGGACCCGGAAAGGCCTTCTCCGCGGCGTCGCTAGCGCGTCTCGGTGCCCCTCAAGGCCCGACAAACTTACAGGTTCTCCAGGCATTCAATAGTCCTGACATACTGACTGGTGTCTTCCGTGCATCTTCAAGCACGCAGGAACAGCAGCCCGCAGCACCTCCAACGGACCCTATAGCCGTAGAACGGATTCAGCTTGAAGAAGAAGAGCGTGTCGCCTTTGGCTGCCCAGAGTAGGGTTGCATAAAAGTTTACCAAAGTCACAGCAGCCTTCAGCGTCACCTCGATGCCGGGAAACACCTTCTCGCGTTAGAGAGAGAGTCCACGTACGACGTGATAAAGAAGAAGTGGGCAAAGACCTGCAAGTCAATTTCTGGTAGCTACGTGGAAGCAGCTCAGCCGCCCACATCTGCATATATCCGCCTCAGTTTCCCATAACCAGTCGGAAGACCTGCCGCCAACAGCTGACATGGGCTGGGCATTAAAAAAGACCAAGAAGTCTGTTCATTTCACCACTAAAGTGCGCCAATTTTTGCGTGAAGTCTTCCTTCAAGGAGAGGACACCGGGAATAAAGCAGCGGCTGAGGATGTAGCAGCACGAATGAGGTCCGTGCGAACCGCTGAGGGAACGAAGGTATTTACCAAAGACGAGTGGCTGACATCTACCCAGATCTCCGGATATTTCAGAAGAATGGCCGCATTAAACAGGAGTGGGAGTCTTCATAGAAGAGAGGAGGCGAGGCCAGCGCCAACAGAACCGGTACCCGAGGGAGGAGAAAGCGAAGATGAGGAGAGAGACCCATATGTGGCTGAAGCTCCCATTATCAGAACACGGCTTCAAATCAGGAGGGAGCTAGAACTGTAACTTTACTTTCGATAAGAGTGTTTGTCTGTTTGATGATATTTATTTTGACTTTTGTCTTTGATAGTTCTTACAAAGGACAGTTCTTTAGGGCACAAGTCACAAAAACACGCAGTTGATTTTGTTTTCAGTATAGCAAGGTCTTTCTGATAAAGTTTTCTGCATCAAGATGCAATGTGGCATGCAAGTTTCAAGCAAATGTATTATTTCTTTATTGGATGAACAAAAGTCAGTTTCATTATACGATCATTCTAACGTTCAAATACAGACAGTGTAAGCATTTTGATAGAGTTCTGTGACTCGCGTGTTTGACTTAGCGATGAGTAAGTTCGGTCACGAAGTTCACTTACGCAATAATAGAGGTCATCACTAAGCCGTTGATTGTCATTTTCATGGCTTAGGACGAACAAAAGCTTTTGAAATGGTTCAATTTCATTAAAGTTTATAGTGTGTAACCATTTTGCTGCATTTTCTACCTGTTGCTATGTCTTTATTACCGAATTAGCGAGTTATGATGAAAAAAAATGATGTGGGGTATCCTGTGGTGGACCAAGTTTTTTTTTATTTTAGCGATTAGATAGAAATGGTTCTATTTCATCAAAGTCTATGGTGTGCAACCATTTTGTCGCATTATCTGTCTGTTGCTGTGCCATAATTACCGAAGTAGCGCGTTATAATGGAAAAGATTGACGCGGGTACCCTGTGGTGGACGACGTGTTTGCAGTCTTCCTGTGGAAAAATTAAATGAGTGCCCAAAGATTTTTTTACAGATAATGTTAGTATGAAGTCCCGCCTTCTAGGAGGTATGCTCCGTTTTTTGACGCACGCTCCGGCATTGGAGATGTTTTGGCCTAAACTTTGGATATTTCAACAATTTTCACTATTGGGTGAGAGGGGGGTCTTGGCTGAGATGACTTGTGTCATAGGAACTTGTCGTAGAAGAACGAAACATTTACAATAAATTGTCTTTGGGTAGGATAACATTCACTGAAAATATGAAAAGATTTGGTGTAATTCTTTTAGCAGTAGAGCTTTATACTTTTGACCAATTTTTAGGTGTTTTCTGGTCATTTTTTAAAAAAAAAACAAGGTAGGTGGTCAACTCCCCCCGGTTTCGACCAAATTTCCTTAAACTTAGAGTGGAGTAGTTTTGGGTGGACCCCTTCAAACTGGCCAAGTTTCATCGAAATCGGATAGATGGCTTGTGCCGCCCCTGCCTGGTCCTTTTGTGGATGCACTCTTAAAGCCTTTCCTGGAGGAGATGGTAGAGTAAAGAAAGTTCAAGTGCAGTACAAAAATCCAAAACCAGGAGAAGCTGTCAACGAGTATCATGGCAGAGGTTTCGTTACCGTTGAACGAGCAGTAAACAAATTGCTTGTTTTGATACCAAAGGAAGAAGATAAAGACACAAACAATTGAACTACTACTACTTTTTCTGAAATTGAAATACTCTACGTGACACTGGACTTGAAATGAATTTTGTATTTTTAATGTAACTTTCCTTTTCGAGTGGCGGGGGAGTGTTTCGGTATAACACGAAATTCGTGCGTGATATAATCACGACTAATGACATGACGTAACAATCGTTGATTAGAAAGATCATTACTACTAGTTGCGGAACTTGAGAGACACCAACGGGTACGTGAATATTATTCTTATTTACGGTTTGTTTTAACATTTCTTGACTGATTGTAGTTCCTGTTGATATCTCTACGTAGATTTCGAATTCTTTCTATCTTCTGTATTTCTGTACATTTTGGACGAAATAAACCATGTGCAGTATTTGAAACCTTGGCGACTCGCAGCTAGCAGTACAGTTATGTCTCTAATTCTTCATTGCAGAAATAGAGTTTCAGATAAACAAATTTGAACAACATCACATTTGTGTAACAGATTCTATGAAGTATTTTGTATTGAAACTCTCTTGATTTTTTGTTCAGCGTTATTTTGAAAGGTCATGAGTACACTCTTTCCCAGTCTAATTGAAAGGTCTCAGTGTTGAACATTTTGTTATATTTTTCATAGCCGTTGGCTCGGAAGAGATTTGAGAAGAAACCGTTTCATACAATAATTCAGATTAGATCTCATCCGTTTAAATCTTTCTTCCTTTAAGATGCAATGAAAAACTGTTTAAATTTATGTGGTGTTCGTTTAATGAGGTCATGGTTCCATTCGCCTTTAACTGTTTGCGCCATTCCTCTGAGATGGCGTCAACGAGACTAGCAAGTAAAAAATAATCAATGGCTAGAGGTGTTGATCTTTACTAGCATTTTGCAACAATTGTTGTCTCAGGTTCTGATCTTTTTCTTTCAGGACACTCAGCAAAAAACAAACGCTGTCGTCGCACATCATTTATGATGAACGTGGATTTTTTTCGACGTTGCTTATTTATAGCTTTTCGAACCCCACGTTTACGGGCCGTTTTGGCTAAAAGGATGGCTAAGATCTTCGCTCGTTTGGCAAATAAAGGCACACCTAACAGCAAAATGCCAACCTCATTGAGGTTTTCTCGTTCCTCATTTTCTTCTAGCTCTGGGCATGATGACTGATGGGGACTGATGGGTGATGTGATGTACAAATCGGCTTCTTGTACTGTCGTTCGTAACGTAAAGGTAATGAAGGTGCAAAGTCTGTAATAACATTTTCCACCGTCTGTTGACGCACTAAAATAATTCTAAAGAGTCGGGTGAACAACCACGAGGACAAGTGCGTAATTAACTGAGAATTTTTTCGTAATGGTACAGGCAAAAATGAGCCATGTGTTTTTCTAAGAGGCTTTTTTGACATCCATCCAACCTTTAATCAGGATCCCCAAGGCAATCAAAACAGCATTCACCACTTTACTCTATGTGATAGGCCCTATCCCTAATTCCACGGCTGATAATAGCAACGCCATTCCATTCGAAAAGGTGGCGAGCCGACGAAACAATGCATGGCATTGCCTCCAACGTCACAACTTTTTGTGATAATACTCGTATACCTTTGATTTTCTCAAAAAAAATACGCCTCAATGAGTAAAGGGTACTCGTGTCCATTTACGATGACCATGAAGAGGATTAGTATTCAAACACTTCGGTGAGATTGGGATCTTACAACGCCACGTTTTGAAATGAACGATGCTTATCGTCGGAGCTAGGATGTACACCTAACCATAAGGATGACTTATACATTGTCGTAGACGTAACTTTTCATGTTTCTCTTTTTTACAGTTTTTTGGGAAAATTTGGAGGACAAACCAATAAGAAACAGCTACATTCCATCACCTCACCTGCCGCGCTGTACAGCTTAATGGAGAAGAAAGCCGTGATTATCACGATATTCGTATCCAAAGTGATGTTCTCGTCGAAGTAGTCACACGTCAGCAACTGGAGGAGGTTATCCCTAGTTCTAAAACAAATATTTTTATCGCTTCTTTCACAACGTCGCATGCTAGGCTTAAATGGTATTCTCATTTAGACTCTTTCAAGGAACAAGTGTTATACCAGGACACTGTTATTTACAAGTCGAAAGAGGGGTGGGCCGATATTCCGACAAGTACTTATTAGGTCAAATAACCGATGAAAAGGACGGTGACCCTATTATTAAATTTGCGAGCGGGGGAGCTAAAAATTGTGGTTATGTAACAAAGGGTGGAAAAGTGGAATGTAAAGTACGGGGCTTTACATTGGATGTGTAAGGGACGGCCTTACTCAATTTTTATTCGTTAAGGGATAATATTTTAACGGAAATTGACTAGTTTAGTTTTTGATAGGCGGGTCTTAACTACGATGGCCGTCCCCTCCAAAATTCACACTCAGTACAGATTTTGGGATTCTTGCTGATGTCAGCATTTTTGAACCGGTTTGGGGCGGTTCAGACTGGTTATTTTTTGCTAATTAATTGGACAAAACGAAAGGTACTTAAAGAAAAGTAAATAATAAATAAAGAAAAGAAAAAGTAAATAATATAGTATATGAGTATGAGTAAGAAACTCGTTGCAAATAAAATTATCCAACTTATTAGTATTTATAATAGGAAAGAATTAATGAAAATGTCCAAGGACGAATTAATAAATATGTTAATGGGAAAACAAACCGCGAGCGCCAAAAAGGCGGGACCAGTCTTTTAATCCAAAATCGCTTACACAGAACAATCAATAAAGCGACCGGCAAAACAGCCAAGCAAAATGCCATCTCTTACACAATTAGCAGCACGAGCATTAGTTAAGGACCGAATCAAGTATTTTGAGGAACTGTCTGATAAACAAGGTCCTACTATTAGGTTACATAAAAAACCTGTTTCCCTGCAAGATATGCGGATGAGGAATCGAAGCGTGCTAGAGTATCAAAATATAAAAAAACAATCATCATTTCAAAACTTGTTTCACGAAAGACTAGAACAGATGCCTGGTAAACGAGAGCGAGCACAAATTACGATAAACGCTGTTATTGAACATACAATTGGTAACAGAACCGAGTTCACTGATAAGACATATGGGCCATTTAAAATGGAAGTCCCAAAATTAAACAAACCTGATATGTACAAATTCTTAACGTATACGCTACTCCAAAATAACTTCACAGTCTTATCAACTGAAACTATAGCCGAAATTGGAGCTACTATAACTACACATAATGAACAGTTTTTTAAAGATCATGTTGCCGGCGCCCTTAAATTGAATACATTCTTCTTAGATAAGCAGTTTTAGATTAAACAACGGGGCG